TGTCAGTTGGCTAATGTTGTGGGATGGAGATCTAGTACTTTTTCCTCTCTCTGCCCATACACTTTTCCCTTTTTTATTCATCTCCATATGTCATATGATAGAAATGTATTCTCTGCTGGTCCCAAACAAGAAAACCATTATTAAGGCTGTATTGAGATCTTTTACTGCTTAGACTGTCTGTGGTCTTAAATCTTTTGTTTGTCCATTTCCTGTTGCCCTTTCTTTACTAACCACCCTGCCTGCAACACCCCTCCCCCACCAAGTTCAATGACTGATTTGTTAATTAGGTTGAGGTCTTTTCCCATGGCTGAAACTGTTACTACAGTGTGACTAGTGATATTTGTAGCCATGTGTGTATGTACTTAGGTATGTTGTGATCCGTGTGAAAAAGACTGTCTTGGTTGTAGAGAGTTTGGTTTCCATCTGTGAGAACAGCAATATAACCTGCATATAAGTGGTTAACATATTCAAAAATATTCAAGTTGCTGCTAAGTCCAGAGGATGCTGAGGCAAACATCAGGATGCCGGGTTAGAGAACTGGCAGTCTAGCTTCACTAGGGTGGTCAGGGACTATTCCTTTGAAGATGTCACAATTAAGCTGAAATTTAGAGATCAAAAAGCATTCAGCCACGCTAGGAAGGCAGACAAGGCCATTGCAGGCAGAGCAGAAGCAATGTTAAAAAAAAAAAAAGTCTGTCCTTTGAGCAGGAATTATTTATTTTGGGGTGAGGGTGGTTATGCACGGTCATCAGTACATTGTCCCCCTTCAGTGAGGTGGCTGCCTGGAGTCAGGAATGCAGACTACAATTGTGAGACAGGACTTCTTGTTGAATCCTTTGTATATACCATGCTCATCTTTACACTGCTTTCATTTGTCTTTGCCACCATCCGGTAGCTGGGGACCCAGGTAGGTAAGTGCTGTGTATTATTTTCCCAGTTCCCTTAGCTCAGAACATGAATAGGTAGGTCAGAGATGGTAGGAGGGCTAAGATGTGTTTTATACATGTTTAAAAACTAAGTTGAATTGTGAATGGTGGATTTTGAGTTCGTTTTTATTATTTTCAACAAATGGTGAATTGGTAAGATTATGACAGAGGAAAACTTGAAAGTTTTCATCTTCCTAAAAAATGCTTGGGAGGATCATGGAGACAGTGGCTTTGATCCCAAAGACATGCCTGTGGCATGTCTTAGAGTTATGACTGGTTACGCCTCATACATCTTTCCTACCTGTGTGGCCTTGGGCAAGTTATTTAATCTTTTGGTATCTCTGATGCCTCCTTTGTAAAATGGGAATAACAGTAGAACCTACCTGATAGGATTATTGTGAGGATTAAACCAGTTAATGTGTGTAAAGCACTTGAAACAATGCCAAGTGCATAGTAAGCTCTAAATGTACTAATTGTCATCACTATCATCATAATCATCAACATTAGAAGTATACTTTCCATGTCGGAGGTATAACCTGTGTCAGGAATTCTCATGTCACAGTGATAACCAGAAATGTAAAGTTGATTAAAATTTTAAAAAACTTTCTGTGATGTGTATATTTGGGTTTTTGTTTGTTTTTTATTAGCTTTAATGAGCTATAATTCACATACTATAAAATGCACCCCTTTAAAATGTACAGTTTAATGATTTTTAGTATATTCACAAAGTTGTATAACCATCACCACTATCTAATTTTAGAATATCTCATGACTCCAAAAAGAATTGTAGAACGTTTTCATCACCTTCATACCCATTACCAATCTCTCCCCATTCTTCTTTCCCCTGGCAACCACTAATCTCAGTCTGTCTTCATATATTTGTCTATTCTGACCATTATATATACATGGAATCATACAACATGTGGCTTTTGTGTATGGCGTCTTTAACTTAGTCTAATGTTTTCAGGGTTCATGCTACATGTTGTAGCATGTATCAGTACTTCATTCCTTTTTGTGGGTAAATAATATTCCACTGTAAGGATATACCATATTTTGTTTATCCATTCATTACCACAGCATTTGGATGCATTTGGGTTGTTTCCATTTTCTTTGCTATTATGAATAATGCTGCTATAACATGAGTGTACAAATTTTGTGTGGGTGTATGTTTTACTTTCTCTTGCATATATACCAAGGAGTAGAATTGCTGGGTCATACAGTAATTCTATGTTTAACATTTTGAGTAACAACCAAACTGTTTTCCCAAGTGGCTGCACTATTTTACAATTCCACTAGCAATGTATGAGGGTTCCAATTTCTGTGCATCTTCGCCAACACTTGTTATTGTCTGTCTTTTTTATATTAGTCATCTTGGTGGGTATGAAATGGTATCTCATTGTGGTTTTGATTTGCATTTCTCTGATGGCTAATGTTGTTGCGCATCTCTTTACTTGCTTATTGGCCATTTGTGTATCTTCTTTGGAGAAATGTCTATTCAAATCCTTTGACCTTTTTTTTTTTTTTGAGGAAGATTAGCCCTGAGCTAATATCTGTTGCCAATCTTCCTCTTGTTTTTTGCTGAGGAAGATTGGCCCTTGGCTAACATCCATGCCCATCTTCCTCTACTTTATATGGGACGCCACTACAGCATGGCTTGATAAGCAGTGCATCGGTCCACGCCCAGGATCTGAACCTGCGAACCCCAGACCACCGAAGTGGAATGCTCGACCTTACCTGCTAAGCCACTGGGCTGGTGCCTTCTTTGCCCATTTTTTGCTTGGGTTATCTGTCTTTTAATCTTTGAGTTATGAGAGTTCTTTATATGTTCTTCATACAAGTCTCTTATCAAATAAATGATTTGCAAATATTTTCTCCCATTCCGTGGGTTTTTTTTTCCCACTTTCTTGATGGTATCTTTTGAAGCACAACAGTTTTTAATTTTTATAAAGTCCAATTTATTTATTTATTTTGTCATTTGTACTTTTTAAATTTTTTTGTGAGGAAGATTGGCCCTGGGCTAACATCTGCAAATCCTCCTCTTTTTTTGCTGAGGAAGACTGGCCCTGGGCTAACATCCATGCCCATCTTCCTCCACTTTATATGGGACGCCACCACAGCATGGCTTGACAAGCGGTGTGTCGGTGTGCGCCCAGGATCTGAACTGGCGAAACCCGGGCCGCCGCAGCAGAGCGCGCACTTAACTGCTTGCGCCACCGGGCCGGCCCCCTGTCATTTGTACTTTTGATGTTATATCTAAGAAATCTTTGTCTAATCCAATGTCAGGAAAATTTACTCCTATGTTTTTTTCTAAGGGTTTTACAGTTTTAGCTCTTATATTTAAGTCTGTAATCCATTTTGAGTTAATTTTGCATATGATGTGAGGTAGGGGCCCAAATCTATTCTTTTGAATTTAGATACCTGGTTTTCCCAGTACAATTTGTGGAAAAAACTATTCTTTCCCCATTAAATTGTTTTGGCAACCTTGTCAAAAGTCAACTGACCGTAAGTGGAAGGGTTTATTTCTGACTCTCAATTCTATTCCATTCATCTCTGTGTGTGTCTTTATGCCAGTGCCACACTGTCTTGACTACTGTAGTTTTTGTAGTGAATTTTGAATTGGGGAAGTGTGAGTCCTCCAATTTTCTTCTTCAATATTATTTTGGCTATTCTGGGTTCCTTGCACTTCCAGGTAAATTTTAAGATCAGCTTGTCAATTTCTGAAAAAAAGGTAGCTGGAATTTTGATAGAGATTGCATTGAATCTGTATATATCAATTTGGGGAGTATTGCTGTCTTAACAATATTGAGTCTCCTGTTCCATGCACGTAGGATATGGGATGTGTTTCCATTTATTTAGATCTTCTTTAGTTTCTTTCATTGATGGTTTGTAGTTTTCAGTATGAAAGTCTTGTACTTTTTTAAAATTTATTCCTAAGTATTTTATTCTTATTGATGCTATTGCAAATGGAGTTGTTTTCTTAATTTTATTTTCAGACTCTTTGTTACCATATGTTTGGAGGGTTCTTTTGCTTTTTATTTTATTGTGGTAAAATGTACATAACATAAAATTTACCTTTTAATCATTTTTAAGTATATAATTCACTGGCATTAAGTATTCACAGTGTTGTGTAACCATCACCACTAGCTATTTTGAGAACTTTTTCATCATTCCAAAGACAAACTCCGTACCCATTAGGCAATAGGTCCACATCCGCCCTCCTCCCAGCCCGTAATAGAAACCTCTACTCTAATTTCTGTCTCTATGAATTTGTCTATTCAAGGTACCTCATTAGTAGAATCGTACAATATTTTCTTTGGTTTCTGACTTATTTCACTTAGCATAAGGTTTTCAAGGTTCATCCATGTTGTAGCAGGTATCAGAATTCCATTCATTTTATGGCTAAATAATATTCTGTTGTATTTATATAACACATTTTGTTTATACATTTATCTGTTGATGAATACTTGGGTTGTTTCCACCTTTGGGCTGTTGTGAATAATGCTGCTATGAACAATGGTGTACAAGTATCTGTTCAAGTCCCTGCTTTCAGTTCTTTTGGGAATATACTTAGGAGTGGAATTGCTAGATCATATGGTAATTCTGTGTTTAACTTTTTGAGAAACAGCCAAACTGTTTCCACAGCAGCTGCCTCATTTTATATTTCCTACCAGGAATTCATGAGGGTTCCAGTTTCTCCACATTCTCACCAACACTTGTTATTTTCCATTTTTTTAATAATAGTCATCTTAATGGATGTGATATTCATTTTTAAATTAAAATTTAATTAATTAGACTGCATATAATAATCTTTTTAATGGTAGAACACCTAATCCTTCAGACACGTACATACAAAATGTATTTCATTGAAAAAAACATCAAGGAAAATTGTGAATTTTCTTTATTCATTCCTAGCTTTATTTCCTGCTTATAATTGTAATTTCCATAATTTCCTATAGTTGAGGATAAACAATTAGACGAAAGCTGGGCTTTTAGAAGAGGAATATTGAAAATTTTTATATATATCAATTAAAGTTTGGAAAATATAACTTTCCTATCTTTTCTATGATGTCAAAGACAACGGAAACTACAGTTAGAACTCTACCAGACAAGGGTGAAGAGGTCTGTGGATATTTCTTGAACCCCTCATTAATGACATCAGAATGTTCGCCAACAACCTTGAAAAAGAAAACAGAAGACATGAACGACCTCCCCTCTGAGAGCCAAAGAAGCATACCGCTCGCTGTGACTGATGCTTTAGAGCATATTATGGAACAGCTCAATGTTTTGACCCAGGTGGGTTGGCGTGCTTCGCAGTCGAGGGTAATATATACAAAACAATCCTGGTTAAAGCAGGTTGTAGAACCAGTAGAGCAGGGGTAAGGCTTTCTTTCTTAGCAAGGCAAGCTCGAGGCGGCAAGCAATATAACAAGGCATGCTCTGCTGAGCTGCTCTAGCAAGATCTTGTGGAAGTAAGGTCAGAGCCCATGCACACGCGCGTGCGCAAACACACACACACACACACACACACACACAGTGCTGTATCTGGTGTCGGGGTCTAGAAGGGAGCAGTGGAGACTGTGAAGAACAGTGGTGGTAGTCCATGCTATAAATGTATTTGATTCTGGGCAGTAATGTCTTGTCCTAAGAATTTTTGATGCATCATATTCAGATCAGGACATTATCAAAGAAATATTTTATGGCCATAAGAAAAATGCATTGGGATTAACCATTTCTGGTTAGAATGAAATATTGGCAATGTTTATAGTTCTTGAGTCCAAAGATATTCTCACTGTGCAATATATAACCTCCCTCATTTCAAAGCTTCTTGTGTTGATGCTGTGTTCTTCTGCAGGTGATGGTTTTTGCATTCCCATTTTAGAATATTACCTCGTCCTTTGATGCCAATTTACCTTTGCAAAGAAGGAATACCATGGATCTTAATATGCCAAAGGTTTTCCAACTCTTGGTCAGAAGATAGAGATGTCATTTAAGTGGTGTGTTGAAATGGATACACCAGAGGTTTTTCTTTCAGCTCTGCTGATTCACTGTTTCCTTTGAAGAATCCTGTTTTTCCTCTTTGGTATATAGAATGGGGAAACTAATATTTGTCAGAGTGGACATTGTCACAAGTTATACAGAATGAAAGGCCTATACTGTGAACTAGAGAGATGTCAATTACTTTCCCAGAACAAATATTTCAAGTTGAAACAGCTCTTGCATAGAAATCATCTAATTCTTTTCTCAGCCCTGGCTGTGCGTTATAATCACCTGGGCAGTTAAATGTACAGATGTCCAGTTCTCATCTCCAGAGAATCCATTTCAATTGGTCTGGGATAAGACCCTGGCTTTGGTCTCTTAAGCACCCCATATGATTCTGTTTTACAGCCAAGGTTTAGAGCCACTAATTAATGAATATTTTTACCCTCTATATAACATCTCAGGGCCTTTGGAGTTAAGAGGCATGTTTGTGGATTTGGGGTCCTGACAGATTGTAGGAAAGAGTCATGTGAGAACTTGGAATCATTGTAAGATTTGTTCAATGAAAATCATATTAAAATCAAAAATTTTCGCTTTTCAGTATTGTGCTGGAGGTGACTTTCTCTGTGTCTGTCAGACACTTCTTCCCTCTCAAGGTGGTTTTCCTCTCAGCTTCACACCACCTTTAGTTTTGGTTGGCTTGTTTCCCATATCGCCAAGACTTGCTCACCCGCACCGTCGCATCTGGCGTTGAGGCCTCGTCAGGGCGCCTCCCAGTGAGGCTGTGCCTGCTCTGCCCTTGCAGCTCCACCGCCTGTTTCTCCTGCTCTGCACCCGATTCAAGGTTAAATCAATCAAGTATCTGGTAAAATGCTTGGCCCAGAAATGGTAGAAAATATTATCAGCATCATTATTACTTTGAATTAGTCATAATCTATAGTATGAAATGTGAAAACAAAAGCTATTAAATTATGACATTTTTAATAATTGACTACCTTCAGAGGATGATAGGGAATCAATTCATTATCTTGAAACTTGTTGACCAAAATAACCAAGCATTTATCCTGCCTTTTCTCTATGAACTCTACTAACTGTGGAACCAGACAGTAGATGAGGGAAGTGTCTCTTATTTATAAATTATTCTAACTAATAAATCATGGAAGTAGAATATCATCATTTGCAATCCCCAAGAATTAACAGATCTAGGCATTGAGTAGTTACTAAGATTATGAAAAGAGAAACGACCAAACCTTATTAATGTGTCTGCTAGTGAAAGAAGAGACCACCACTTATAGTCTTACTACAGGATCTAACTGAGTCTAATCAAGCCTTTGAAAATACCGAGGGTAGGACAGACTGAACTGCTCTCTGAGGATGCCATCCTGAAATCCAGACTAGTGGAAACTCTGCGGGTCGAATGGCCTGAGCCTGTCAACAGACACGTTGTAAAGAAAAGAAAGGGAGAGGATGGGAATCTGTAGATTAGGAGACTTTAAATGACATATCAAATCTTGAAAGATAAGACTGAAGGATAAAACCATAAAGAAACACAAGGAAGTGATTTATAATGGTCAGGGGAGTGGCTGCGGTGGGAGGAGGGCAGGGGTGGGGATTCTGGCAGGCACGTGGAAGGCACTCTGGGGTGGCTGGCAGAGTTTTAGTTCTTGATCTCGGTGCTGGTTATAAAGGTGTTTTTCTCATGAGAATTCATTAAGTGACATGTGTTTGCTACAGCTTCCCGAGTTTGTTTTATTTTATAATAAAAAATTTTTAAAAAGATATAAAAGGCCAAAGATGAAGTTGACAATAACACAAAAAATTAGATTTCCCAAATTTAAAAGTAGTCATTCGTGTGTGTGGGGGGGGTGTGTGTGTGTGTGTGTGTAGTCATATACTCATTTATGAGCCATAGAAGTTAGAGTAGCTAAGACTCATCAAGTCGTGTGTGCCAGGCTCCAGCATTTTACATGCATTATTTCATTCAGGTTTCCTAACACCTCTGTGAGGTGCTGTTATCACCTTCTGGGTGTGAGAACTGGTGGCAATCATGATATTTACAAAGTAAACTGGGTATACAGTTTGGGATGTTTGGGGTTAGGTATGGTTCATCATGGATTGATTGTGACAGAATGACCAGTGATGACGTTTAGGTAGCACCTGGGCTGGGCACGTGGCATCCCATCCCCGCCCCCACTCCCCCACCACCCCTTCTCCCATGTAGCTTGTGGCACCCCTTAGAATGCTTCATGTCACGTCTTCCCTGGCATTGATGCTTTGGAAGATCAGACTTAAGAATTGTCTGCAGAGGCCTGATCTTTTACTCCTTTTTCCTCAAATGCATCATTTTTTTTTTTTTCCCTCAAACTGGTTGACAGTGCTTTGCCCTGTGGTAGGGCCCAGAAGCAGAGCGAGTTCCGGGGCTCATTTTTGAGCTAACTTCCTGGCAAAAGGGCGGGCATGCCAGTTCTCTGAAGGATCTCCTGTGCAGAGAGCACGGTTGGTCATCCTCACCACCGGGTCACCAGGCGTTGATTATTTTGTCCTCCTTTTTGCAGACTGTTTCAATCTTGGAGCAGCGACTGACTTTGACAGAGGATAAGCTGAAAGACTGCCTTGAAAATCAGCAAAAGCTTTTCAGTGCTCTCCATCAGAAAAGCTGAATAGAGAAGAATGAGCAGAGGCACAATAAATGACACGTGTACGTATACTCAGGAAGGGAGTACGAGGCGCTTCATGCAACACGACCGTGCGCTCATTATCATGGCATTTCTTAAAAGGGTGAGCCACAGAACAAGGCAGGAAAGGCATAATTCAGGACTCATTTAAACACACAAATCAATGTCAAGAACTGATTTAAAGCATTACCATTTATGATTGCAGTAATAAAGTGATAAGCATTCAAGTGGCTCTGTATTTTCCCCCATAATATTTTAAATGTCAGTTTTCATTTATAGTCCAAATCCTACCAGGAAAGTAACCACATCTCTGGATTTCGTAGTTAAATCATTTCAAATTGACCATGTTCAGGCAGTTCCTCAAAGCAATTAATGTATTTCTTTTGTGAACAACACCCTTGGGGTGAAATAATTCACTTACCTCTAAAACAGCATCCTGTATGCAGAGAATGAGTTAGTGATCCGACTGGTATTTCTTTCAGTTCAAAAAAAAAAAAGTGTCCTTTCTTATCAGTGCCTTGAAAAGATGATCTTATAACAATTCCCAAACCACAGAATTTCCACAGCAAGGATACACTTATTTTAATTAGCGACGTCACATATGTGACATAGGGCAGTGGGCTTTTACCCAGTTTACAAAGATTACGTTACTGTGATTTCAGTGTGCTCAAAAGCCAGAACGATATAACAGCCGCATTTAAAAATATACACACATTTATTTTCTCATGCTTCAGAAATTCTGTTGCTTAGGGTGATTTGGGCCGCTGGATAATAAGTACTTAAAAAAAACATTTGCATCACTGTCTTTCTAATTTTTTTAATGAATTGTGATTTCGAACAGAATGAAAATGAGCCAGGCATTCTAAAAGATCTTGGTTACAAATTAAGAATTTTATTTTATCTTAAACAAAATAAGAGATTAAATTCAAGGAAAACAGATGGAATTATAGCTTGCTTTTCTATTAACCTATATCAAGAACAAAGAAGGTGGGAGAAGGCAGTCTGTAGGTAACATGAGGAAAATACTGTCTACGTTTTGGAAAAGAAGAAAAAATAAAGTCCTATTTATGACGGAGTCTATATTTAGGAATTTTTCTTAAAGCAATTTCAAATTGTATCTATGAGGTGGTTTTTTTAAATCATCTCCTTGTGTGTTTTAAGTGCCTTTTTATCTTATACTAAGTGTGAACTTGTAGACATTTTCACGAGTGTATAAAGACTAAGTGGCATTGTATTTTTATAACCTCATTGAGAAGACTAAGAAATGAAATGTCATACTGACTTTTGTTTACTCTTTTTTATGCTTCAAACAATAAAGACATTTTACCTTTAAAAAAAAGTCGCTCCTTTTCTTTTTAAATGATTAGAAACCGGAAATACTAAACTTCTTATCATCTGGCTTACTCAACTTTAATGTGCGTAACAATCTCCTGGAGAGCCTGTCAAAACAGTTTCCTGGGCCCTCTCCCTGGAGTTTATGATTCACTAGGTCGGGTGGGGCCGATAATTTGCATCTCTAACAAGCTCAGAGGTGAGGTTGATGCTTGTTGGCCTAAGGCCCACACTTTAGAAACCATTGATGGAGCTATGGCCACTTCTGACAGCATGGTGTTGCCACGTATTTGTATAGTCATCATAGACTTTTTAAGTGATATAAAATCAGTAATGATATAAATTAAAACGCCTTGGAACTTTTTCAAGAGGGTCATTTTATACCCCCCTCCCCCTTTTTTTAAGCTTTTGCAGATTCTCCTTGGTCTTCATCAGATTCCAGCCTTTCTTCTCTCCTAACTTGTGTATTCAACTGCCCGATCAACATCTCTTGGAAGACTAGTAGACATCTCCCAATATGTCCAAAACCAAACTCTGCTGCCCGCCCCCAACCACTACTCACCAGCCAGCCCCCCTCCTAGTCTTCCCATCTCAATAAATGGCAACTTTCCTTCCAGGTGCTCAGGCTGAAGACCTTGGAGTCATCCTTGGCTCCTTTCTCTCACTTCTCACATTCCATTCCTTCAGCAAATCTTGTCAGAACATAAGAAACACCTGTTCACATCTCACCACCTCCGTCACCCACCATGGCCCAAGCCACCATCATCTCTCACCTGGACTACATTTGCTCCTAACTGGTCTCCCTGCTGTCACCTTGCACAGAAGGCCGGAGTGGTTCTGGAAAAGTCCGAGTTAAAACATGTGGCATCTTGGCTCAGAACCCTTCAGAGAGTGCCATCTTGCTCAGAGTAAAAGCCCAAGACTTGACAGCAGTGATGCACTGCCCTCTCCTTCCTCTTGGACTTCCCTCCCTCTGGCCTTAGGCCTCTTTGCTTCCCTTTGAAGAAGGACAGCAGCTCCCCCCTGAGGGCACTTGTACTTGCCATTTCCTTTGCCTGGAACTCTCTGTTCCCAGATATCCCTCTTAACATTCCAGCCTGGCTCACGAGTTGCCTTTTCAGAGATGCCCTTCCTGACCACCCTCTATGAAATGCAAACCTTCCACTCATTCCCTGCATATCTCTGGTCCAACATAGATTGCTATACAGTTGCAGTTCTGCCTCTCCCACTGTGACTTGACTTCAAAAAGCAAGCACTGTCATAAATTTCCTCACTTAGCACGTTGCCTCGTGCAAAGGAGGAGCTCAACAGATAATTGTTGAATAAATGAGAATTTTCATTTATTCAAGTGTTTTTATAACATTATTCTTCAATTCGCTTACAGCCAAGAGCAGTTATAGGCTGAGTGGACTCGAGGAAATAGTGTAGATAAAAATTTAGATGCTTGATGTTTGGGGCTGAGTAGGCATTGCTCTGACCTGCTATTTCTTGTACAGCCCAGTTGTTACATGCACAGTCTTTGAAGCCAGAAAGACTTGGGTGGAAATTCTGGCTTTGCTTTTCTCTGGCAGTGTGACTTCTAGGAAAAGTACTCACAAAGCTTAGTTTCCTTACCTATAAAAAGTGAAAGTAATAATGTGAATTATGTTTGTGAAATAATTAGCACAGTCACTGTCACAGAGTTAAGTGCTCAATAATTGGTAGCTATTATTGCTATTTATTAATCATTTTGTTTCCCTGGACTGTATTTCCGAATAATATGATTTCCATTGTAGCTGCAGAAAAGATACAGGGATTAATATTAAGTGGTAATGAATGAAAGCATGATATTTAATCCAAAGTTAATGTTCTATTTTTAATAGTTCAAAAAGAATATATATACAGAAGAAATTAGCCTTCCATACACAGAAAATTTCAAGGTTCAGGTCAAAAGCTGACCATTGAGCAACTCCTGAGGAATTCAGCCTGAGAGTACAAATGCCATAATCATCCTAAATAAAGACAGGGCAAAAATAGGAAGTGGGAGAAAGGTCTGGAATATGAACCAAGTAAGTGTCGTTAAGACACAGACTTACCTGGAACTCATACTGTCCTTGCCCTTTGATCATTTGGAGAAGAGGTATCATTTGTTTACTGCCTTTTCTCTAAAGACAGGGAAGTCCGGATCCTCACTTAACATTTCACTCATGTATAGAGAGCAAACCTGGAGTCTGTTATTCCCAAGATTAATTCTAGATGTCTAAGAAGATTGGAAGGTAAACTGTCCCTGGGTAGAAATATTTGGCTGCCAAGAAAAAAAAAGATTCTGATATTTGTAGGTTATTGACAAATAATCATGCTCAACTCATGAGCAAATTTAATGATAAAAACAGATGGATCTATAGTAGATATTTAAGTGGAATTATACCATCCATACACTGTATGCTTCATTTTCCCTGATGGCTCATACAACGTTTTGCCCTAGCAAGTCACAAGGTTTTAGTCTTCATGCACCAGAGGATTTATGAATGTACACTGACTCTAGGAACATAGTGTAATTGCCAGGTGTCCTCCATAAGCCCCAGCTGTGACTCAGCCAGGTAACACAATGGCAGCCTGGGCTTACTAGGAAAATAGGTCAATGGCTTGCCAAGAGGCAGAGGTTAATGGGGGTGGAGAGGGTGTGTGCAACTACTTTTTTCTTTGCAAACTACATCTGTTGCATTTTCTTTTGGGTCAAATCTCAAACATGTTCCTAGTAAAAATAAAAACTCGGATTTGAGGGCCGGCCCCGTGGCTTAGCGGTTGAGTGCGCGCGCTCCGCTACTGGCGGCCCGGGGTTCGGATCCCGGGCGCGCACCAACACACCGCTTGTCTGGCCATGCTGAGGCCGCATCCCACATACAGCAACTAGAAGGATGTGCAGCTATGACATACAACTATCTACTGGGGCTTTGGGGGAAAAATAAATAAATAAAATTATAAAAAAAAAAAAAAAAACTCGGATTTGAGATGCCTCTCATACTAAAGTAGACTTCACAACAAAAGCAGTAGGAGAAATGACCATCTAAGACTTGTAAATTTATAAAACAAAAAGTACAAAAATAGAAAAACTTGGCAGAAATGCAACACAGTATTATAATTGGGAATATTGACAGTTCAGAAGTAGAATTTAGTTAATCCACATGATATAAAATTACACAAAATTAATAAGGCAGACTTCACCATGTGCAAAGAACCACATGGAAATAGAAGCAAATCTGCTTTTTTGTATTTTAAACAAAAATTGACTGTGTTCTGGACCACACGATATAAGTGAACCACAACTCTATATTCCATATATCCAGAGAGTAAACCATAAAATTAGAAATACCAAAATAAAATGTTTCATCACACAGAAAATATGAAAAAGAAACTTAAACTTCACTTAATAACATTTGAGCCAGAGAGGAAACCCCAAAATGTGGTGAGAAGAGTATTTTTAAATACAAATAGAAATGCAATATGTCAGATGGAATACTGCCAAAACAGTGAAAATCTGAACCAAGCATCTGCCTAAAAATCTAAAGTGCAATCATGGTAAGTGAAAGGAAAATATAACAAAGTTAAAATAAGAAATGTGAAAAATAGTTGGCTCTTTGAAAATTTTAAAGTTAATCATTAAGTAAAAGAAAAAAAATAACTTGTTTGACTTCAAAAGTAATTAATAAAAACATGGTTAACTTAGAATTTGGTCATTCAGGTTACCATTGAACATTTTTTAAGTAAATGTCAGCCACAAATCAGAATGTAAAGATTTGAGAAACAAACCCAATAGAAATGTGATTTATGTTATTATTTCAAGATTTTTTAGTTGCTCTTGAATAGCTGCTATAAGTGTGTGCATTTTATCTAGCCTGTGTTGACAGGCGATGGAT